TGGTGAATGCATGGACTACAACAAAATTATGAACTTACATGTGAGGATTCCATGAAAAACAACTTCAAAATGCTATGATATGAACATACATGCATGAATTAACTCTCAATTCAACTCTTTCACAATAATTTTTGACTTTAAACTCCAAATCTCATGAACCATACAAGAAACAACTCAATTACATAGTTGAGGGGATGAATTCCCTACCTTAGGTCTTGAATTCAAAGTGTACAAGCTCAATTTTGCAAATTCCCCTCAAGTCTTCTAAGTTTCCAAGCAAAGCTCTTGATGAAACCAATTTCTCCTACTCTCTCTCTCTCTCTCTCTCGGTTTGGTCTAAGAAAATGGCTGAATAATGGTGCATCAAGAATGAATTAAACTCCAAACAATGCCCCTAAAGTGGCCCACTAAGCATGGCAAAAGTGTAATTAACTTTGATTCAACCATTAATCATTATTTAATCTAATTTAATCATTCCAAACCAAATTTTAATTAAACCTACCATAAAATCATATAAATTCTAATTAAGCATAAAACACTAATCAATTTCTGGTTCGGTCGCCGATAAAACCTTCAATTCGCAGTTCAAAGTTAAAACATGAATAGATTCATTCAGAAATCAAACAGATAGAAATGCATTCAAAACAATACACTCATACAATCAGTTCAGAATTTCATTCTTATCAGTTACTTATCATGCTTAATCATAGATTAGCACTAATCAGAGGTGAGGGTTGTCACAGGCAACCTAACCATCTGTTCCTTGTGCAGGCCTTTGCCCAACAATGCACCAGGATTCGTCTACGAAGTTCCTTTTCTCTTTCTCTCTCTCTCTCTCTCTATTGCGGAAACTAGTTTGCATAGCCCTTAAAATGATCCACTTTTATATGGAAATGTTTGCATAATATTCTCCTTGTGAGATGGAATCTAAAGAAGTGTGGAATTAGTATAGACCCTATTTACCCTCGATGTAATCAGTTCATAGAGACTATAGAACATCTTTTCTTTGAGTGTGAACACTCGCAATGAATTTGGTGAGGCTCTAGATTGGGGCTAGACTTCACTAAGGGAGAACTAGTTTCTTTTTTTCTTTCTTTCTTTTTTCTTTTTTTCTTTTTTTTTTTCCAATTGGTTTAGGCAGTGGGCAGCAGAGGTAACAAGTGGATTTTTTATATATAAAAAAAAAAATTCATTCCCGCGATTACTATGCTAGGTCGAATAAGGGAATAGGAAATTATGTTTGAATAGAGGAACAATTTCAATGGGATGCTAAGAGCATCTCCTAATGCTTTATCTTTTGTTTCATCAAATTTAAATTTGATGAAAAACATATAAAACTGGTGCTCTAACGTTAACATTAAATCAGTATCAAATTGAGAATATTTCAAAATTTTCATCAAACTGAGGATGTTGGAACCTTTAATCAAATTACTATAGATAGTCGTTAGCTTTACAGGTGGCTGTTAGACAATGGATGATCACCGGACGATCAACCAGATGTCTAGCCGGTTTTCCTCCTACTTGACCCCCTCTTTGCAAAATTGCCTATAACTGAAACAAAAATTTACACTGGCCGGCCGACTGGTGATTTAATAAAATCTCAAATTACTACTTGTTGAAACGAGTGATATCAGATTAAATTTTTACTAAAAATTAATGTATATGTATATAAAAAAAGGAAAGAATAAACATTAGAGATGCTCTAAATACTCGATCAATGCCAAAACTTAAAGGTCAAAATTCCAATTGTTGCTTACTTGTTAATTCTTTCACCAATGATGTATCTTTTCAAGTAGGGGTGTAAAAATGGCCCGCGGTCCAGGGTGGCCCCGGGTCCGAGCCCAACCCCAACCCTGAGATCCTAGGCTTGGGCATTGGCTGCCATTTTGAAGCCCGGCCTGGCCCATGGCCCAACTCATCGGCCCGCTCAAGGCCCACTCAAAGTCCGGCTCGAGGCCCGATCTATTTGGGCCGCCCGAGGCCTAGTGTCATTTTTAGTGGGAAAAAATAAAATTTTGGTGAAAAAATAGAAAAAATTGTCCAGGCCTGTCCAGGCCCGAATACCTCCTGGGCTTGGGCCTAATTTCCTGGCCCGTGGACCGACCGAACCCAGCCTGAATTTTGGTGGAAGCCCGCGAGGTCTAACATGGGTCGGGCCGAGCCAAATTTACACCCCTATTTTGAGGTTTGCACTTTTATGATAGATGGGTCTTGGAGGAAAAAGGGAGCAGAGCCGGTTACGCTTGGCTTTGCTATGATGAAAACCAAAGCTTGGTGGGTCGTGGAGCTCAGAAAGGCCGGTAGACACTTAAATTTTCACATGTCTTAAATTATGATTTGATTAATTAAGAAATTAAGAAATTAAGACAAATAATTTTTTTTTAATTAATCAAAATTAAGATAGTCAAAATTTTTAAATGGATGTGGATCTTATTAAAATTATGGATCTCAATCCATTTTAAATTATTAGTCATACCAAAAGAAAAGTGAACCTATTTTAACAATTGGATCAACCAAAAGTGTAGGGCTCATAAAGATATTTTGTCAAAATTTGGTGGAATAATTCAAATTTAAATTCAAAACATTTCAATAAAGAAAGAGATAAATTTCTATTTTCTTGGAAATCAAAATCAATTTTAGAGTTTTCAAAATTAACCTTTCTCTCCTAAGCTTATAAATAGAGGCTCTCACTATGGGAATGGGGACACACATTTTTTGGCTAAAGGTCTTGCAAGCTCCTAGGTAATCTCAAAACTCTACCAAATTTTCTTTATAAATTTTTTTCTAAAGCTCTTCAAACTTAAAGGAGAGGATTATCAAGCACTTCAAACTTGTGTCAATGTTACGAATATAAATTTGATTTTCTTGCAAAGAGATCATTTCAAAGTTTGTTCGAGATCAAGTCATTCAAACCTTCGATCATACCTCTTTTTTTCAATTTTCTCTACTCGAAGACTTGCAGAAATCGATCAACTTGTTCGGTTCAACAACAAACTTCTACAACCTTTGGATTGTAACACATTTTGTAGATCGAATAAGAAGATTTGTTCTTTTGTAATGGAGCAAATCACAAAGGATTGTACTTGGTTTTATTCAAAATTAGTAAAAGTAATTACTTTTCCATTTATTTCTTGCTATAATTGCTGGACATAAAATTTGTGTTTACGATGCCGTCTTCCATCACCTCTTCCGGAGGAGGCAAGGACTTGTCTGGCTGTTGTTCAATGGGCCAAGGAAAGGCTACTTCAATGTGTGTCTATTTTGCCAAATGCTAATCAATGTTTTGAATGGGAATTGTAAGCCAGAGTGGCAATCCTCATCTATATTTTCTGATATTAGGACGTATGCTAATTTCTTTACTTTTTTTGTGTATTTCTAAGGTACAACAGACAGTAATTGAGCCAGCACATAAGTTGGCTCGGTCTGTATTAACTCCTTATTAGTAATGAAAAATGCTTGCTACCCCCAGCTGGGGGTGACACCCAGTGAGGTGTCAGCCCATCACGTCTTCCGGAGGAGGCAAGGACTTGTCTGGCTGTTGTTCAATGGGCCAAGGAAAGGCTACTTCAATGTGTGTCTATTTTGCCAAATGCTAATCAATGTTTTGAATGGGAATTGTAAGCCAGAATGGCAATCCTCATCTATATTTTCTGATATTAGGACGTATGCTAATTTCTTTACTTTTTTTGTGTGTATTTCTAAGGTACAACAAACAGTAATTGAGCCAGCACATAAGCTGGCTCGGTCTGTATTAACCCCTTATTAGTAATACATCTACTCTTTTTGTGCTCGAACAAAAATACAAAAAAGAAGAAGATTTCTCTAGTGGAATTTTTTACGATAAATTGTGATAAGCAAATTATACCGTGTTGACATTGATTTCAAGGTACTATGTCTCAATTTTTGTACTCAATTAGTGTGAAAACATTTAAATTTTATTTAATAGCTACAATAAATTATACTTCTGAGTTTGGAAGAAATACGTTGAATTCTATAAAATTTTAGCATAATTAACTCATCTTAACTCTTTTTCAAGCTTACATTTGTATCTTTTTATCTTTAAATTAAAGTTTGAAATCCCTCGTGTCAGCTAATTTAATACGATTTCAATTAACTCCAATTTAAAATTTTATGCCAATTTAATTAAATAACACTCATTAATAAATCTCTCTTATCTTACTTATATTCCATTAAATCCAAATTATTTTCTTAGATTCCAATAAGTCTTATGAGTGACATAATTATCAAAATACCGCTAATAATAATAGAATAAATCGTAAATTAATGTTTACATTGATAATGTGAATATTTCATAATGTAAACATTCACACTGTTAATGTAAACATTTACTGCCAAATTTATTTGATGTGAACATTCACATCATGAAATATTCAAAATAATCTAAAATAATGTATACCAAGTTGCTAAGAGTTCAAAAAACATTTATATTTATAAGAATTAAGATTTGATAGATCAAATATCTAAAATAATAAGACTTCATAAAATAAAAGAATATCTTATGAACTAATTAGAATATAAATACTTAAAAGAATATTTTCTAATAAATTTTTCATTAATGTTATTATTTATGAAAAATAGTGGTGGCAAAACAAACATTTCACTATATCCTCTGGTATCTCTTTCCTCACTCTATTCTGCTACAAACGAAGGCACCACCATCTTTATATGCATCCACTAACCGCTTGTAATGATTCTGATTATAAAAATGTGAGCAAAATTTGGTCCAATTTTCTGGAAAGCACTGCTCGAGCAGAAGTGAGACGCGCTCAAGCAGAGGAAGTCTGATTTTGGCCTAAGATTGCCGAGCTTGGCACTTCAAGTGGTGGCAGGCTCCATTCGAGTTACGAGGTCCATAGGAGTTTCCAATCACTAAAAAAGTCCTACTTCTATACATTAGAAACACCTATCATGATATCATGTACAACTACATTAAAAACGCCTCATAATAGATCTCAAACAGAATCATTTGCTTCGTAAGAAAAGAAAAAAATCATCACTAGAGACAAAACAAGGCTGTTACACATTAGAAACACCATTGCATGTTCAACATAAACTTAGCCAAAATTTACTAAAACATAAAAACCAGACCTCTCAAACAAAAACCTAAGATACATCATTGACCACCAATAAACGAAAAGATTTTCTGCACAACACAAACCACAGAGAGTTGTATACATTACACCTACTACTTTGGATCATCAAATACTAAATTGTGATTTTAAACAGTTGTATCTCATCAACCTATGTCATGAATTACAAGGCCAAGCTGAATTCAGGAACCCGTACAATTGACTGACTATATAAACCCTACATTAGAATCTTTCTAATTACTCTACACCCCCAATAGTTTCATCAGTAGCCAAGCCTTTCGCACTGGGACACCTTCACGATTCACCCGCGTTCAAAAACTAAAGAAAAGAAAATTCAGGACACATGAGAAAAAATAGGGAGAAAAAATTACTGAACTGGCAACCTTCCATAAATGCATGGTAGAGATTCTAGGCGTCCACAGCAAATCTGAAGAGTCAAAACTCATGAAATTAGTTCCACGGCAAAGATTACGAATTCTATGAGTCCACCATTTCATCTTGTATTTCATTAGGTGCAATAAGCCCAGGAATAGTAAGCATCCGCTGTCGCTCCCTTTCCCTCTGAGCAGCAGCTTCTTCTGCATACAAATCCTTGTTGTCCTGCAAAATGAATGAACATTAATGTCAGGCAGTAATCTAACACCCACCAAGAAAACAAAAAACATGGACTACGAAAAAAAGAATACAAAAACAAATTTCTTAATCTAATGCCCACCAAATCACTAAAAAGTCCAAGGTATACAAAACTTCTACCAGTTTGACCATCATTTTTTAGAACCCCACCTGCCTCTCTTCTTGTAGACATTTTCCACTTCCTATTATTGGCTACTCTATTTAACTACTCCGGAAAGAATGGGAGGTAAAATAATTTCTCCCCTGATATTTTGTGCAGCTATACTAAAACTATTCAATTCTCTGGCATCATCGGTTGGAAAAACAAAATAAAACTGAGAAAATAGCAACATTGACTCCCTCTCTGAGCATAATGAGAACTCAGAGTTCTCTTACAAAACTTCCTTCCTGTTTTGTTATATAAATGACTAATCTATGCTATTGATGTTATGCTTTGTTATTAGAATCTAATGATTTGCGATTCGATTCACGATTCAATTTGCAATTTTTGCAAAATTGATACGAATCTGAGTGAATTTATTTCGAAAGTGAATATCTAGTGAATCGCATGATTCACTATCGATTCACGATTCGATTCACTTTTTACGATTAATGCAATTCTTGAAATTATTACGTCCGACATATTTTCGACTCTCTCCATCTTTTTATTGAAAATGACATAATACAACTTCTAATATTGTTTAATACCAAAATAACCAATATATATACATGATTTGTTGTTATTTTAGTGATCATGAAGCTTTTAATAGAATCCAATCAAATTCAGTCCGACCAAACATGATTTAAACTTTCTTTTTATTTTTCTCTCTCTAAAAAATCATAATATATCTTTTATAGACGTTTAAGATTAAAGTAACTTACACCATGAATTATCATTGCTATTTTATTAAATTGAATATAGTTGAATATTACATGGGTGAGGTCAATTATACCTTTTAAAATGTTTTAAATTTTAAAATAAAAAAACCTAAATAATTCTTTCTTATTATTTAGTCATCGTTACTTGAAAAAGTGTGTATGCTTATTATCCAAATATCAATATCATTGTTAATTTGGAAATTGATAGTTTGTCTATTTGGTTACTACCTTTATTAAGAATAGTTGATAAAAAAATATCTAAAAAACGAAAAAGGTAATATGGTGATCTTAGATAGGTATTTTTGTAAACTTTTATCTATTAAATTACGTGATCATTCAAAACAACATTTTCATTGATTTAATTCTAAATATTTCATATTCATAGATATATTTAACATTTAAGTGTGTAGATATATTTTTCTAAGTAATTTAGAAAAAGTAACCGAATCTTTACGATTCACGATTCGATTCGCAATTCGTTAGGAGGCCATTTTGATTCACGATTCGAATCCCGATTTGATAACTATGATGTTGTGTCGAAATGAAGGAAGATGGATCCATGTAAACACCCCAAGCAAGATCAAGGCTTGTTGAGTTCAGACTCAGCTAACAAACACACTGCCCCTTCTAACCTCCACCACTTAGCTCCAAAGAAAATAATAAGCATATTGCATCATATTTAATGAAATAAATCTCAAAATTTTCATGTGGCTAACTGAACAAAACACACCATATACCATAAAAATAACAGATAAATAAAGTGTATGGTTTAGTAGAATGAATTAAAAGTTCTATCTGTCCCCCCAATTGGCCTCCCTAGAATATGGCACCAAATAATAAGAGGCTTGCCATCAGGCTGAGAACTGAACTGACCACAGCTAGGGGTGGTTTTGGAAGTGGCTTTTTGGCTAAAATATGAGGTGAAATAAAATTAAGTGTTTGGGAATGGTTTTCTGGCTTTTTACAAAAAAAGTGCAAAAAGTAGAGAAAATGGAAGAAATATTTTTCATACGGATTTTTAGCTTTTTGACTAAAATCTCTTCTTCCCAAACACACCCTCCTCAAGCCCTGATGAACAAAAATGAAAGGAGGTAATAGACTTCATAACAACTATCTTTAAAATGGTATGGAATTAGCTGGTAAAAACTAGAAACCAAAGACACATCAGAGTCTTTTTAGGCTTCATCTTTTCAGTTTTCCTCTAATTTCCCAAACCAATCCCACCACATATAGAAAAGAAAGAAATGAAAACCTAACCAACAACATCAAATACAACATTTTTTTTGTTAGTCATCAAATCCCACCAGGATAACTAAACATCTCAATCAACAAATAGAACGGATGCATTTCTGAGAAAATTAAGCAATGGAAATAAGTTATGCTGGTGTTTACCTGTGCTGAGAACTCTTTTGACTGCACAAGGAAGTCTCGTATGTGATTCTTAAATGTGGAAAGATCATTTCTTGACTCGAACAGTCCACTCACAAATTGGGTTACCTGCAAAGCTCACCAAATAAGTGATATCCTGAAAGAAGATGGTGTTAGAATTAAGCGTGCATACCATACCTCAGTTGTTGTCATGTTTGGGAATGATGTACCCAAAAGTTTTATGGTATATTCACGTACAAACATTGCATTGTTTGGATATGGATAAGGAACAGTTGTTACATCCCACAAAGGTTCTGTCAACGAACCAGACTCCACCTAGAAACACACCATAACTCCAATTAACTCTATTTGGGGTAAAAAAATGTAATGAACTTGTTCCTAAGTAAAGAGTGAAAAAAGAAGGGAAAACAAAATTAACTACCAGGCAAAACAAGTGCTGCAACACCAAGACATGCAACTTGAACCCAGGTTTATGAAATGTGTCTGTTAAGACAGCAAAAATTTCTTGCTCTATCGTCACGAAGTAAGTCCGGTAAAATTGATTACAAAATTCAGAAGTCTGCCAAATAAATCACATTACGGTAAGAGCCCTCTCATAGACCATAAACCAATACAACTGAAGAGCACATAGAATTCCATGACAAGTCACACCTGAAAGTTTTTCATCATCTCCAACAACAAGTTTAGCCCAGTTTCAGCAATGTTCCTTTCAGTGTGCCGGAAAGCCCATATGATAGAATCCATAACAAGCTTTAGTTGCTGTTGTGGATCACAAAAACGTTAGAAACAAAAACAAGCTCATTGTAATTGTGAGAAGTGTAGTACAAGAAAAAGGAAATGTTTAACAATCAAGCATAGATATGCTCATATCCAATCAGAAGAAGATTCTAAAATTTTTTTAGAGGAAATTGAAAATAAGTGGGAGAGTCTTAAAATAATTGGACTACAGGTGGAATCCTTTTTGGTACAAGTCTGATACGCATGAAAGACTTGCACCAAACAACTTGCACCATATACACGAGACTTGCACTACCATGAAAATAGAATTATTTTCCCACTGTCCAACTGAAATGCAATTTCCTTAATTTTTTACATAGCAAATATTTCAAGACGAATAAAGTTAGGAAAAGACTCAATATGTGGAACAAAATATGAAAACAAACCTGGCTTGACAGACGAATCAAAGCAGGAAAACAATGCGTAGCAATGGCACGAAGCAGGGAAAAGAACTTTAGGCGATGCTCAGGGTAATCTTCAAAGTTTTTGGTAATCATCTGAATGTAAGTCAACAATTGAACCACAAAACTTAAGCAAGTACATGATGTAAAGATTTGGATGATACAAACCCCACTCAAGACATAAAGGCATCATTAAAGAAGATCTATTTTTATAACCAAACACGTAAAAGGAATGAAAAGCCAGCTGAAAGCAAGATATATTAAGCATCAAATAAATGAAATGAGTAATGTGCACATTCACATGGAGTCTTGTCTTGGAATACAACAGCCAGCACCCCTAAGATGTAGCGATATACAGCTTAAGACGACAAGGCCACAGCAAGTCATATGAACCACTACATAACCCATATGTCGAATGAAAATATCAGTATCTATGTATTTCATTATTTGTATTAGCGCCTATTAATATAAAAATATTACATATCAAACAACGGAAGAAAACATTTGGCACAAACCAATTATAGAATGATTCTCTCTCATCTGTAGTGTCATTCGGCCAAGGCCAAAATTATTGGTTACTTAAATATCATTCAATAATAGTGTTAGGCCAACCCAGCATCCAAACGGACCAACATTTTTAATCTTTTACCATAAGTCATTCTATACTATTACTTTTCCAGTTATTTCTTTTTCTTTTCTTTTTTTATCTTAAATACATTGCACTCCAAACCAAAATAACTCAGCCAACAACAAAGATTGTCCTGAACTGATATGGCTAATAAATGCAGTGAGTAGCAAATTAAGTTGTATTAAAGCCCAACATAAGACAAACCTCCGCGAGGGGAAAACTTGGGGGTCAATGTTTTACCCACTATAAGAAGAGGTGTAAGCTTCAATTTGCCAATGTGAAAGCTTTATCAAATTGCCAAGGCACTACCATAGAACATGGATATGCTAATTTTTATTTTTTATGGACATGCTATTTTTTATTTTTTGATCAGCAACAAAATGGAACTTTATTAAAAAGAAGAAAAAGAAAGAGACACAGAGGACAAAGCAGCTTTACTCCTCACCTCCAAGGTACATTGAAAAACTGCTTCAAAAATGCGAGGTATGTCATCTATCATAGCACCTTTGTACCTATAAATAGAAAACATCAGGACAAGGAACATAAGTGGAGGCATTGCATCAAAACCTCTGTATCAAGGTGGACTATAATGTCGATTAAAATCTCCAGAAATTAATTACATTTTTTTGGTAAGTTCGATAAATAATATTTAGCAATGCCTATGGCCTACCACACTTGTCATCAAGTAGAATAAGCAAGCATATCCAGCGCTACCATCACCCCTTTCATTAGGAGGGAAAAATTTTACATCAATGAACACAATAAACAGGTAGCGTACTTGTTTATTATTGTGGCAAAAAGTGACAAGACTTCTGACTCCCTTGCATCAGGCAAATTCCTAGCATAGTCACCAAGCACCGGGTCCATCATTGGGGGCACAAATTGCTTTCCAATCTGTGCTTGATCTTCAGCTTTGTCCAAGAATGTCTCGATGAGCTTAAGGGTTTCCCTTTTTACAGAGCTGTTTAAAGAGAAATAAAAACAAAATCAGATGAGAATGTTCTGCAGAATAAACCACAGACAAATCCAAATTATGTACTCACCGTAGAAGTTTTACATAAGATGTTCTAGACGCAAAAGGGCCCCCTTCTGCAATGCTGGTTGATATAAGCTCACTGTACATTCTGTTCCAAACATCAACAATTCAGGAAAATCACAACAATACTTAGTGACGGAAATCTATTGAGACAAATTAATACAACTGAAAGAATTGACCTTCAAATTCTAAAATGAAATCATACCTGTACACATTAAGCATGTCCAAAAAGATCAGTGAAATTTGTGGCAAGAAATATGTTCCAAGTGAACTGGCAACACTTGTATTTGTCTGCCCAAGAAAACCCAAAAAAAAAAAAAAAAAAATTGGCTAACATAAATCATGCATAAAAAAAATTGGCTAACATAAATCATGCATCATCATAAAGAGATTGATCTGAATGCAGAAGAAAAGCCTATCATGACATGATTATGAATCTCATCAAAAAATCTGATATCTGCTTTCTACAAGCTTGGTAACAAAGAACAAGACATAGTTAAAGACAGGTAATAAAAATAAATAATCCAAAAGACGCCTACCGACAAAAGAAAACTAAAGAAGAATTAGCAGCAAAATACTAAACCCAGAATCATGATTGGTGGCTTTTACTCCCCCAATGAAAATTTATCACAAATCACATAACAAAAACACCCATTGATCCAAATCGTTTATGGAATGGAACCAAACTTGGCAAATTACATTCAGTATTTGACAAAAGGAATTTCTCCCATAAATAAAGTAGAAGCTTCAAACAAAGCTTGTAGTTTAGGGGTGCGCGGCCCCAGTTTCACTTGGTTAGCATTTCTATTCAAGGGAAAATGGAGTAGCGGGAGAGGAAATCGGGGCAGGCAAAATAACCATTCTGGTGGTTGATGGTTGAGCAAAGGCTGGATAAAACACGGATAAGAGTGCCATATCATCCAAAAACAGGACTTCCTTAAAGAGCTACATTAGTTCAGGGCTAAGATGTAGGACTACATCATATATGGGTCAAGAGATCTTCAAATCTGGAATTCTCTTTTTATATTGATTGTCATCAAACCTTGCGTCTATTTGATGCACAGATGCATCATCACATGGCCGTTGTGTAAGACCTATCCCATAGTCAATAAGCCTCTGTCTGGGTTGAACCTGGAATGGTGGCTTGGACAAGGTTGTCACAAGAAATAGAACTAACTAATCCTAAGTCAAAAGGATCAAGAAACTCAACGCCACTATACTTGAACAACTTGGAGTTGGCCCAAGATAGTTAAGATTATCATACTCCCCTCCATTGCGAATGTACAGGGAAAAGAAAGAACAAAATGCTTAAACTTTTGTTATCAATCCAGCACATGTCTACAATTCTTTGCAATAGTGTTATATTATAGCCAGCAAGGAAATGAAATTTCTGCCTTCAGTTGCAGCAAAAATAAGAACAATTATGAAGCATGGATAACCAAAGAAATCAACAATATATATACTAGGGTGCTTTGGGTTCGCTTATTTGGTGGTTTTTTTCCTTATTTTTGTCTTGAATTTTTTTAAAAAATTCAAAATGTTTTAGGCTTTTACATTAAGCTCGACAAGACCAACTGAAAAAATTAAAAAGTTTTTAAAAAATTCTGAGAAAACACAAAAATAAGCAAAAAAAAATAGTGGATTTTTTTTTTTTTTTTTTGGGGGGGGGGGGCAAAAAAAAAAAAACTTTTTAGATGAGACTTACTGAAAAAGTCTAAAAAAAATAAAAAGATGTGACTTTTTTTTTAAGCATATTAATTAATCAATGTTGAAGCCTTCAAATCCTCAAAAGCTAAAACATAAATGGTAAACACCCTAAAAGAAAATACATATATATACAAATAACTAATTTCATTACACATAAATCATATTCGCATACCAAATGACCAATTTTATTAATAAGTAAATTAACAATTTTTAATGATATAAAAAATATTTTTCAGTTAACCATTTTATTAATAAATAAATTATTAAGTCAATGAACAGTTTTTAATGATATGAGAAATATTTTTCAATAAACAATTTTCATTATTTATTATTGCATAGGAGAATTTTTTTCCCCCGAGTATTATTGTGTTAAATGAAAATTTACAACAAACGATAGTTGTAATTTCTAGAATTGTAGGACCGATTCGTCTTTTAAACAAACCTTGTGGGTTTATTTGTCATTTTTTAAAAAGTAAAAATTTATGTTTCATAATTGACCAAGAATGTTTGCGTAATTACGAAAAAACCTTCACTCAACATACTGGCCACCATTAGTAAATTATTCAAAATGAAAAGGCCAAAATCGAAAAGAAAAGACGAACCTCAAGCAGCTAAGCGGTTCTTATATATATATATATAGATATAATAAAAAAAAGAAAGCAAAAAAGAAGCTTAGAAGTGCTAACGGTCCATCTCATGAGAGAAACAAGTTGTACAAGTACAGCCAAAAATAGAAGTTCATAGATCCAAGAAAGAATGGTGTCCTACTTATAAAATTATACCTGCAATATATTAAGAACAGTCCTGATTACATCTTGATCCTTCAAGAAATCGACACTTTGCCGTGCTTGTCCTATAATTTCAGCCCATTTCTGCACAGAAAAATGAAATCTTAATCCACTGTAGTTCCTGGTGTGGGCTTGCACACAGCATGTGTGCCCACTGCCTACACAACCACCCACAAACAGACAAACAGAAAAGAACTCCAATACACAATATTCCAAGAAGTAGTAGCACTTTTAAGTATGCTTGCCTGATTTGGAAGCTCCATCAACCTCTGCAAATATTCATCCCTCTTCTGAGGATCAGATTCCGCTTGAATCATTTGGCTGACCTAAAAGAAAAAGGACAACAATCATTAAATCACAACAAACCTTTATGCAGAGTCTACTATTGGAGCATCAGATAGACCATACTGATTCATAAAACGTATGAATCTGATGATGCTCAAGATCTGCTATGGTTGTTGGAAGGCTTGTTAGAAGTTCAGACACAAATGGTTCACTTTCTCCGAGCTGGAAACAAGAGAATAAAACCATGAATCATTCAAAGATAAATCATATATGCTGATCAAAAAGATAAATCAAATATGGATAAATTAACATCAGACCAGAAAGATTAAAATAATTTTACCTGTACAACAACAAATTTGCGCTTGCATTTCTGAACAATTTTCAAGAATGTGTCACAAGCCATGTCCTGAAAGAAATTTCATACACAATTTATTACTTTAGTAACTTATTTTTCTCAATATAAAGCAGTATAACCTTTATTTAAGCATCATAAAAATAAAAAAATAATAAAGTTGGCCATAGATAATGAACAGGGCATGAATTACAAATTTACAATATACCCAATTAATGTAACACCACAAAATCTGCAACAAGATAGTAAGATGGTTAACAAGCACAACTGAAACAAAAAACACTCGAAAATTTGCAAAGTGAGTATGAAACAAAAACTAGAAAATAATTAAGAAGTCAAAAATAAACAGAGACAAGAAAATCAGCCATTGAACAAAAAGTTAACGATCAATAATAGCCTGACCTTGAAGTTTAATAAATCTACTGCACCCATAATTCTAACTATTACACATATGTCCAAGTAGGTTAAGAATGCTATGACACTACAGTAGATAAAAAGGCAAATATAAGACAAACTTGTTGAACTTAGAAACACGGCACACCAGCACAAACCAACACAAATCAGAACTGCAATCAAACATAACCCGAGGAATTCTCCCTTAGATGGTGGTGGAGGGGGCACAATGGGGTAGGCAGACCATATACCTAAATTTACTTTTTAAAAAAAAAAAAAAAAAAAAAAAACCTAAAATATACAAAAACATAATTCACCTCCAAATAAAACTAAGACTCTTGAAGTTGGCCTACCCTGGACAACCCCATGCAGACCTTTAGAGATGATTTTGGTTCTGGTTTGGGTTTCAGTATGCCTTTATGACTGGAATCAAAGGGAAATGGGAGGTTTCTCAGAGGATAATTGGCCAGCAACCAAAAAAAAAAAAAAACAATTTGGAAATTTTTTGGGGCTTAAAACACATTTCGATTTTGAAGAAATAAAACACACAAGAAAAACTAACCTGAACTCCAGGATGTGTTTCATGCATGAACTCGAACAACTTATTGACAACAGTTTTCAAGAACTTCCAATGGGCCCTAAGAAATCTTGGGTATTGTCCAACAACATACCTGACAACATAAAAAGAAAATTGCAAATGAATATACAATTTGATAATCGGCATCAAATATTTACAGACCAGATTCCCCAAGGAACAACTGAGTATTATAAACACAGTATTTTGAAAACTATTAATTAAATTTTCTAAAGCTTTTGACCCGAACGGCAGCACAGTTTCGAAGCAATAGTCTGTG